TGCGGAAGAACCTTATCTCTGTTGGTGCCTTAGACTCCAGTGGTTGCAAGATTGTAACATGGAATGGAGTAAAGAAGGTTGTTCGTGGTTCTTTGATTGTGATGAAGGGTATTCGTGAAGGCAATCTCTATACTCTTCAGGGTACTACAGTTATAGAAGATGTAGCGGTTGGATCAAGTGGAAGTGGTGGAGACCCATGTGAGTGCACTCGGCTATGGCATAGGAGGCTTGGGTATATGTCTGAAAAGGGGCTAGATTTGCTAGTCAAGAAATGTTTGCTAAAGAACTTGAAGAAGCCTTGAATGAATTTTTGCGAGCATTGCGTGTACGGTAAAGCACACCGAGTTCAGTTCCAGTCAAGCAAACATAGAAGTAGAGGCATTCTAGACTATGTGCACACGGATGTATGGGGTCCGGCTTCTATCACTTCCAAAGGCGGTTCCAGGTATTTTGTTACATTTGTTGATGATTATTCTAGATATGCTTGGATTTATTTTTTGAAGCATAAGAATGAGGTATTCGACATTTTCAAGAAGTGGAAAGCAATGGTTGAAAACAGAACAGGAAAGAAATTGAAGACACTACGATTTGATAACGGTACTGAGTATACAGATGATGCTTTTAAGGAGTTCTGTGGTAAGGAAGGCATTGCGAGACACTGGACAGTTAGAAATACACCGCAACAGAATGGGGTCGCGAAAAGACTGAATCGCACATTTCGAGAGAAATCGATGTGTATGCGATCCTATGTTGGTTTGGGCAAAGAATGGTGGGCAGAATCGGTTGCAAATGCTTGCTACATAGTGAACCGGTCTCCACATTCAAGGTTAGATGGAGATGTACCTTACAGGGTATTGACAGGAGAACATGCAGATTATGAGAAACTCAGAATATTCGAATGCACAGCCTACTATCACGTCAACGAGGGAAAGCTTGATGTGAGGGCCAAGAAGGCTATATTCTTGGGGTATGCGGCAGGTGTAAAAGGCTATCGCCTATGGTGTGTAGAGGATTCTAAGTTCATAATCAGCAAAGATGTTACTTTTGATGAGAACTCCACGATAGCTTCGTTGAAAGCTACAGTGCCCGGTGGTGATGATGTTGAGGCTACAAAGTCTCAAGTTGTTGACATAGAACCTAGAGATCAACCTGGTTCTAGGCATGTTCAAGAGGAGCATCATGCAGATACTCAAGATGAGAGTGATGATGGGTTTGAACAAGAGGCGGTTCAGCAAGAGAATGTACAGACACAGCAACAATAGCAGCTTGCAGATAACTTGGCTTCTTCTACGCCACGCCGTACTTACAAGCAAGTTCTAAAGTTGGGGTCAGACGAGCCTTTGAGGCAGACAAATTTGATTGAGCATGCACTCTTGGTGGAGGATGATGAGCCTATCACTTTCAAGGAAGCTATTTTAAACAACAATAGTGAGAGTTGGTTGGCAGCGATGGAAGAAGAGATGGAATCACTTCACAAGAACCAAACATGGGAGGTTGTCCCATTGCCCATAGGTAAGAAAGCTATTGATTGCAAGTGGTTGTACAAAAAGAAAGAGGATCCTACCAAGCTCGGTGGTACAAGATTCAAAGCAAGGTTAGTGGTTAAGGGGTTTGCACAAAGACAGGGAGTTGACTACAATGAGATCTTTTCTCCGATGGTCAAGCACACTTCCATTCGGGTGCTGTTGAGTATTGTTGCTCATCATGATCTTGAGTTGGAACAACTCGATGTCAAAACCTCCTTCTTGCACGGGGACTTGGATGAGGAAATCTATATACAACAACCTGAGAGCTACAAGGTTGAGGATAAGGAATGTCAGGTATGTCGCTTGAGAAAATCACTATATGGATTGAAGCAATCTCCTCGACAGTGGTACAAGCGATTTGACTCCTTCATGCTTAAACATGATTTCTCCAGAAGTGAGTATGACTGTTATGTTTATATTCGAAAACTTCGGGGAGGTAACTATATCTATCTTCTTTTGTATGTGGATGACATGCTTATCGCTTCGAAAAGCAAGGTGGAGATAGATAGGTTGAAATCTCAACTTGGTAAAGAGTTTGAGATGAAGGATATGGAGGATATGGGGGCTGCTAGGAAAATACTGGGTATGGAGATTAGAAGAGAGAGGACGAACCGGCGAATGTTCTTGAGTCAGAAAGGCTACATTGAGCGGGTTATTGCTAGGTTCGGGTTGCCAGGTGCAAAGTCGGTGGTAACTCCATTGGCTCCATATTTCAGGCTCTCTGGTAAACAGTCTCCTACTACAGCGGAAGAAAAGGTACGCATGGATCGTGTACCTTATGCTAGTGCAGTTGGCAGTTTGATGTATGCCATGGTGTATACACGCCCAGATATTTCACAGGTGGTTAGTGTGGTCAGTAGATTCATGGCGAATCCGGGGAAGGCACACTGGGAAGCTGTGAAGTGGATCCTGAGGTACTTAAAAGGTACTGCGGATACGGGTTTATGTTTTGGTGGAGATGCATGTCATATAAGTGGGTTTGTGGACTCGGATTATGCAGGTGATCTAGATAGACGACGATCTACTACTGGATATGTGTTTTGCATACATGGTACCCCAGTTAGTTGGCGATCGATGTTACAGGCTACAGTTGCTCTTTCTACTACAGAGGCCGAGTATATGGCCATGGCAGAGGGAGTGAAGGAAGTATTGTGGTTGTGGGGTCTTATAGATGATTTGGGGATTGAGCAATTGTGTGGACTTGTGGTGTGATAACCAGAGTGCGATTCACTTGGCTAAGAATCAGGTTCATCATGCTCGAACCAAGCATATCGACGTCAGGTATCATTTTGTGCGTGATGTCATAGAGGAAGGTGATATTTCACTTTTGAAGGTACATACAAATGAGAATCCAGCAGACATGTTAACCAAAGTGGTAACGGGTAGCAAGTTTCAGCATTGCTTGGATTTGCTTCACATTAGTCCGTGTTGATATGCCCGAGTGGGCATGGCCCTTCGGGGCGGGGTTGAAATGAGGTGAAGAGTATATGAAGGTGGAGGTGAATTACGGAGGCTTGATCCCGAGTTTTGGGTACGTAGGCAACCATGGTTTGAATGGTGCAGCCGAGTTTGGCGCTTGCTGCTTCTTCTTGTGTTCGTCCAAAATTTGAAGTCTATCAAATGATGTACGAAGTGGAGAATTGTGAGAAACTTGGAGTTGAAAAGGAAGAGAATGGCGCCTAGGCGCCATCTGTGGGGGCCTAGGCGCTCCGATTGCTGAAACCAAGCAGGAACTTGGCGCCTAGGCGCCCCGATACACTATTTAAAGCTGGTTTTTTCCCCTTCATTAGTTAACACCCGATTTTGAGAGAGAAAAATAGAGTGAGGTTTGGATAGAATTTATCAAGTAAGAGTTTGTTCTTCTTGGGTATAAATTCAAAGCAATTTTTTTTATTTATCAAGTAAGAGTTTGTTCTTCTTGGGTATAAATTCAAAGCCATTTTTTCTTTCTTGGAGATTAACTTGAGGCTTGTTCAAGTAATCCAATCCATTGTTCTTCATTTATTAATTGAAATCATTTCTTCCCCAATTTCTTATCTTCCAAAGTGGTTTGGGATTTTTTTTCACATTTCAAGTTTGTTTGATTTTGGGCATCTTAGGGAGGTGTTTTTCCCAACATATAGGAAAGCAATGTCGAGACAGGTAGCTAAAAGCCAGTTTATGCACACGCGCCCTTTTGTTATTTTATCAGAAGTTTAACATTCTTACAACTGTCTTAGATGGAACAACCATTTGAATCCAGAAATAAACAAGGGTGCTTGGACCAAAGAGGAAGATGAGGTTCTTATAAGTGCTCATGCAGTATATGGAAACAAGTGGGCTGAAATGGCAAAGCTTTTGCCAGGAAGGTATATCTAGTTCAAGAATTTCAACCACTATTAGTACTGACAAGTGATGATTTTGACTCGAATTGAAAATGAAAAATTTATTAGATTGTACTTTGAAAACATAATCAAATTATTTACATCAAAATGTCTATTTAAACATTGTTTAGTTTTACAAGGAGTTTAACTTAACGCACCATTTACTAAAATGTTGGAAGGTTGTTTATGATTAATGTTGGATTATGTTGCTTCTTTGGTAAAAAAATATTGAGAACTAATCTTTCTTAAGTGTTTATTTTTTATTTTATTTTTTCCTGTGGAAATGTGCTAGGCTGGAGAATTCAATAAAAAATCGTTGAAATTGCTCTCTCAACAAGAAACTTGCTAACTCAATGGCTTGTGGTTTCGCTTTAAATCATCCGGGATTCGATATCCCTGCTTTGCATACTCCTGGATCACACTGTTTGTCCAACCAGAAGTTGGATAACAAAAGGAATGAAGATTCGGGTTCCCTTGATTTGTTTCTTCGATACCCAGAAAGTACTCGAAGTCATCTGCAGTCTTCTGAGAATGGATTTTCTACAATTGTTCCAAGTGGAAGGGCAAATTAGCCAATGAAACTACTATCATCTACTTGCAATCTGACAGAGATGTTTCACAATGGAAGTCACTGTACCGACATATCAGAAGTTAAGCAGTCCAAAGTGTTAGACCATGGTTATATTCATAAGCAGGAGCTAAGCAGCTCCTTGCCTCATGCAGTTTCTTCAAAATATAAGCCAAAATGTAAGAATTCTCATGACAATAGAACCAGCAAAAAGGAGGCATTTCCCTATTCAACCTTGCCAAAAGGAAGGAGTTATAAATGTGATTGCATTGAAGTGCACCGAAATCTGATAGATAAATCTCATGCAGGCTTATGCTATCAGCCACTTCAGGAGGATGATATGAAAATCTACATGTCAAGTGGTAAATTTCCAAGTACGGATTGTTATATCAGGCCACCAATTTCCACTCCAACTAGTTGTATGAAAGTAACATCAGTTTCATACAGCAGCCCAGAGTCCATTTTGAAGACTGCAGCGGTAAGTTACGATAACAAGCCATCCATTATTAGAAAACGAGCAATTCAAGTTTCTCAACAAGCATGCAGTAAAAGTATTTCTGGTACACCAGATAAAATTATGGATTCTTTGAGCAACTTGCTTCGGGCAGCACATAAAAATCCAAATACAGTGGACGACCAATATCAAGCTTTGAGACGACCTCTCCATTCTTCACTCAAATATCAGAAGCTTGAAAAAAATGATGCTATTAAATCTGTGGGGAAATGCCTGGAACGAGCATTTGACGTTTTGTCGGAGTCTGAAAGTACTGACATAAAAAATTCGGTTGTTAATTCCATCCATGCCGATCATGACTCAGATAGCTTGACAAGATCTTCTTGAATTTAGCCATTTTTTCTACAGAGAAGTATGTGATTTCACTCAGTGGCAGAACTTACCTTGGCACACCCCCAGTCTACAAATATCTTCTGCTAGTCAGTATGGATCCATATGAACTGTGGTTTACTTACTAATTTTTTTAATTAATCCTTGTTTACAAAGGAAATCGACAATGCTTTCCATTTAAAAGATTAATGGAGAATTGTGGCAATGAACTACTTGGCCTACTGTCTGAATCTTGCTGAATTCCAGTTCCCTTTGAAGTTGGTATCGAGAAATTTTATTATATAATAAAGTTATTAATTCTCTACTGACTTATATAGATTATACTGTATATTCCATTCGGTCCAAATATGTCCATCTCAACTCTCACTCAAAGGGCATCATACTGTGTATAGACCTTAATTTTACAGAGTAATTAGCTTAATAAAGCAGTTCCTTTTCTATTTAATCAGTTACTAGTGGTATGTCTACTAGGTAGAGATGGATTTGACTGATGAGCTATGGCTTATCTTTAGCAAAAATGCAGTTTGTATATTGGAGTGAACCGTGCTTGATTGTAATTAGACTTTCATACTCTAATTCTGCTCTCTTTTGATTTCACTAATTGCTGCCTTTTTTCCTTACAGGTACATTGATAATCTAACTTTTGTATCACTATTAGTTTACGAGTCTAGATAATCAGCTACAGATGAAGACTTCTATAGGGGAAAGCTTAGCAGTAAAATCAGGCAAGTATTTAGTGAAAGCTGTGATGTTTTACCTGGATGGATAGATTATTGACTGTATACTATAAAAACATAACATTATCAAGAATTTTTTAATGGGACAGAGAGAAATTATAGTGTTATTCTTTTCACGAAACTGCATTTTCATTAAATATGAAATGAGTGCATAATTAATATTACTTGAGAATTGGGTTACAAGGTCCGAAGTTTATTACATGCTTCTGTGTGTCTTGTTGCACTTGAAAAAATGACTGGACTAGAAAATGTCGAAGGGGATTCTTCCACGAATCTCAAGTACACTTCTACGAACACTGGGTGACTTATAAGTCGACTTCTTTGCTATGACCCCAAAATTAATCCTTATGATGGTCTCATTTGGTTTTATTACTGTTTTGAATGACAATTATGGTTCAATTATGGTACTTCAATCATCACCTACTGATCTCACACGTACTCGAAATCTTTTCAATGAAAGTACAAAAATCTTTATTGGCTACTGACAGCTTCATTGTGAAATAATAATAATAATAAATAAATAAATAAATTGCCACATGCAGCTTCCATGCTCTGTATAAAGAATGAAGGAAAAGCAAAAATATCGAACCAGAAGTCTCATTGAGAAAGAAAGGATGCTTAGTTCAAATTGGCTAAACTAACAGAATAAGTTCGTCAAATCCACTTCAACACGTTGCTTACAAATACCAGGTGAAATAACTCTGACCACAAACTGGTAACTAGCTATTAATCTTGCTACATGTGTTTGGATACAAATGGATTGTTGATTACGTGCTTCATATTTTTGGATATGGGGGCTAGTTGATGGAGCGGGGCAATCGATCCTAGATAGACCATTCTTTGAAGTGTATCAATGTTTACGGGAGATACCGACGCTCCAACCTCTTTACATTGCTCTTCATCTGGTTGTGAACTTGAAAAACCAATTCCCAAATAATGTACTATTGCAGATGCATCTTCAAGATGTTAGATATTTATATACTAAGGGGGTGTTTGTTTTCCATTTTTGTAAAAATTAGAATGAAAAATATTACGTTATGGGCCCCACACAAGAAATAGAAATTCAAATTTGGTAACTTGATGTGATAGATAACGATCATATTTTTCATTTTAATGGAGAAAGATTGAGAAACAAACAGGGGCTAAATATATAATTTGAAAGAAATAACTAAGTTAGATAAAGTGTCCAACTGGTGAAAAATGTGGAATTTGTTTGGGCGGTCCGGGGTTCGATTTACATCCCACGCGATAATTAAAAAGTATTTGATTTGTGTGATAATTTGCTTATATGTTGATAATATATTGATAATGAGAACTAGTTTAGATGTGGTTAATAAGACTAAACATCTTTTGAAAAAGCACTTCGAAACAAAAGATTTGGATTTTATTGATATTATTCTAGGAATTAAAAGAGTAAAACATTCCAAAGGATTTACTTCAATCCAGTCTCATTATGTAGAATAAGTGCTTAAGAAGTTTAGCCAATACAATTTTATTTCTGCTAAAACACATTATGATGCAAGCCATCATTTGAGAAAACATTCAAGTACTAGTGTTTCTACTTTAGAATATGCTAAAGTGATTGATAGTCTCATTTTATCTTATAAACTGTACAAGACCTGGTATTATCATATGAGGTTGGTAGATTTAGTGGGTATATTAGTAATCATAATAGTGAAAATTGTGATGCTCTTATTCGAAACTTGAGGTAATTGAGATACACTTTTGACTTAGGAATACATTATATCAAATTCTCTATTGTACTTTAGGGATATTGTGATATTAATTAGATTTTCAATAGCAAAGAAAGCAAATCTACGAGTGGATATATATTTACTTTAGCAGGTGGTGCTATATCTTGAAAATCCACTAAGCAAATTCGCATTGCGAGATCTACTATGAAATCTGAGTTCATAGCTTTATATAAGGCAAGTGAGGATGCTGAATGGTTAAGGAATTTTCTTATGGAAGTTTCTTTGTGGTTTAAACTACTTCCAACTATTTTTGTCCATTATGACAATCAAGCATTTATTTCAAAAGCTCAAAATTCATCCCACAATAGAAAGTCTAGATATATTTGTAGGAGGCACAATACTGTGCGTCAGCTGCTTAAGAATAGGGTCATAGCAATTGACTATGTAGAGTCAAGTAATAATATTGCTGACCGGATTAGCTAGAGAGCTAATTCAGAAAACAATGAGAGGGATGGGGCTAGTGGCGAAGCCAACATCTGGCTAGCTGGGGCCCATGCTGGCTTTGTCGAAATTTAGAGTTGTCCTCGGGAACAGCTAGCAATGAGGAAAAACTTGAATCGGTAGAGGTGGAGCCAGGTTGAAGATGAAGATATAGTCGAACAGGTTATAAAAATTGAAATTGGGATTTGGGCCTCTTGTTTTTAAAAAAAAATAGACCTAATATCAATCCAATCCACTGGTTTCTATGGACGTGTTTGATTTTTTTGAAAATCAATTCCATTCCGATTTCCACACATTCTCCAATGGGAAAAATTCATAACTCAGATGTATTATTTATACCAATTCAATTTTCAAGTCTTAAGTTTAAAAGTGCAAAAATCAGGTATTTATTTGTTAATTAAAAATATTTTATTAATTAAATGTAATAAAGTCACAGTTATAGAACTAATAGTCACATATACAAAATTTTAGGTCACAATTTATTTATTAGTCACATATCATTAAATTAATTAGTCACAAATTATTTCGATGGTCACAGATTTAAAAATTTATGTCACAATTTTTTTCGGTGGTCACAGATCTAAAAATTTATAGGTCACATATTTTCAAATTTGTTGATGACATTTAATTATTTGGTCACAGATGGTCACATAAGTCAAATAGTGGTCACAGACCACCGCCACTAATACTATCGCATCGCCACTGCCATCATGGCCATTTGCAACCACTCTCATCTCGTTACTGTTGTCAAGGTCACATGGTCACAAATAACTAAATAGTTGGTCACACTCGTCAAATAGTGGTCACAACCACCACCACCACTATCGCACCGTCATTGACGTCACGGGCACTTGCAACCACCCTAACCCCGTTATCGACGCCAATACCAACACCAACACCAACACCAACACCAACAAAAACAAAAATCAAGGCAGCCACAACTAACAACCACCACCTCCGTCACCAGGAACTACCACACACACTAACAAATACCCAGTTTGATGGAAAATCACCATGACCACCACGACGAAAAACACCAAACAACAAAACGACCACCAAAACACAACGACCGACTGCACCACACCACACCACACTACATCCACAGCGTACCACCACCACCATTGTCGCCACAACCACAACCACCACTGCCGCTTGCCCCACCGTAACCCCAATCCATTACAACCACCACCACTGTCGACAGTACACCATACCTTAAATCACCGCCATACCATCACCCCCTGCGCCACACCACCGCCTGCAAAATCACCACCTCACCATCACATCAGTAGCGTCCCGCGGCAGCCACAAACCGATCTGAAAATGTGGCCACCACCACCATGCAACCCCACTGTCATTCACCATTAACCACGCACTATCATGAATAAACACATATCTCGTAACTACCTCCACGCGACACCACTACCATCAACACCAACGCGGCGCCTCCACCACCACCACCACATCGCACCTCTCTATACACGTAGATCTGGATCTGACCTATAGATTGACGTTGTGCAATGTGTACAAATTCAAGCAACTGCCGTAACTCCATTTGACCGCTTCGATGCCAAGCCTCAACGCTGGAGGTGTCATAGCTGACCAACCCTAAACGAGCAGCGAAACCACAAATCCACAATTTACTACACCGCCGCGTCAGGTCCTCACAATCGTACTGCTGGGTCTATCCACCTAAGTAAGAGAGAGAGAGAGAGTGAGAGAGAGAGAGTGTGTGTGTGTGTGTGTGTGTGTGTGAATTGAAATGGTTAGGGTTGGAATTGGGGGAGATATTTAATTATCATATTCATCCCGGATTTGTGAATAACAAAACTTCATACCAGGTTTTTGCATTGTAAAGTTAAAACACCGGGAACAGTGTAATTTCCTCTTTTCCAATTTCTAAAATCCCAAACCCATGCTGCTACCTTATAGAGTACTACGCCACTGCCTGCAGTTAACCGTTGCTACTTTCGCTCGTCGATTAGTCATCATCGAACTCTCCAGCACCCAATCTTAGTCCAGCAGTCACCAGTTGGCCAGCCATATGAGTTAATCCTCTTCTCTCTCTCTTTTTTTTTTTCTTTTTAGTTGTTATTTTAATTCATTTTTTGATTTATCATTATTACTGTCTAATGAGTTATAATTTATGTTTCGTGAGTTATGGCTAAGAAATGAGAATTGTGATAAATAATTTATATTTTATGAGTTATGAATTATCATTTATGAGTTTTGATTTGTGATTTGGGAATTTATGTTTAGGATAAGTCAAAAAAATTTATGGAGATCTTGGGCTCTATTTTTCCATGTGTTCTCTATTTTTAATCAATTTCGAATGAAAAATAAATTGGGAATGATGCATTATAGCAATGTTTGCAAAATATGAGACCACGTGAATTCAATTATCTAAGTTTACAATTACAAAGTAAGGTTGTATATATATATATATATATATATATATATATAATGTTTAATATTATTTAATTAAATATTAGTAAAAGACTTTGCTATTTTATGATCGTTGATCTTTCGACGGTCAATGGTCAACGATCAACAGTCAACAGTCATGTCCGTCCTAACCGACCTCCAATCTTGAATTCACCAACTATGATGCATAGTACCAGCTGTATTTATTAGAGGACGAGCTAATGCTCTTGATGCTTACCATAGTTAATATTTAGTATGGTGTTTAGATATAATGCACCCTTGATAGAAGCACCTATTTGAGTGTGAAAGTGGGGGTCGTTTCCTATGAGAATTGAGGCCAATTCTCTAGTGCTTTCAAAGCAATCGAAATGA